AGGCCTGCCTATACATCCATGTTTTTAGTTGGTTCTTAAAAGTACCCAGCGCGGGTGCAGCGTGAATCTCCGGAGGTAGGTTATTCCAGAGGCGAGGAGCCACCGCCGAGAAGGTCCGGTTTTTAGTTCTTTCCTTCCGGGCCTCCCTCGGCGTCAGGCTCCTCAGCCTCACCTCCTGGCTCTCGCGGGTGACACGGGTAGAGCTAGTTGGGAGCAAGCGTTCCGCCAAGTATCGAGGTCCTAAACCGTTTAGGGCTTTATATGTAAGCATTAACACTTTGAAGTCAGTGTGGAAACGGATGGGCAGCCAGTGTAGCATGGCCAGAGTAGGAGAGATATGTTGGTATTTTCTCAAATACTCAAAGCTGCAGATGTTTAAGTAAAGGTAAAGGTTCCCATTGACATTTAGTCCAGTCGTGTCCGACTCTAGGGGGCGGTGCTCATCCCCATTTCCAAGCTGTAGAGCCGGCGTTTGTCCAAAAAGTTTCCGTGGTCACGTGGCTAGCGCGACTAGACATGGAAAGCCATTACCTTCCCACCAAGGTGGTACCTATTTACTCGCATTTTAACATGCTTTCGAACTGCTAGGTTGGCAGGAGCTGGGACAAGCGACCGGAGCTCACTCTGTCGCGTGGATTTGATCTTACGACTCCTGATCTTCTGACCTTGCAGCACAGAGGCTTCTGCAGTTTAGCCTGCAGCACCACCATGTCCCTGTAATAAATACAGATGCTTAGAGATGCTTTAACTAATAATAATTCAGATGTAGAGGATTGTGCTTGCTCTACACATGCTTTTAATGAAAGGTCTAAAGTGTGGCAACCCAATTGTTGACTGGGGTCAGTTATAGAGACCACATCTTTGCTGCCCTTCCATGAACATGCAAAGACCTTTCTCTTCAAGCAAGCTTTCCTGAAGTGGTTGGCTGCCTGAGTGGGCTTTTTAAGGGAATTGTCATGCCTTACTGTGTTTACTATTTCTCAGAGTGGCCTTTGTTTGATCTTTTTTAGTATTTGTATGTTTATTATTTTTCGCTTCAAATAGTATATTTTAATGATCTCAGTCACCTTGGGTTCTTTTTAAGGAGAAAGGCAGAATAAAAACATTATAAACAAACAATCAGATAAATGCCTTAATAGAGCAGGGCTAGCCAAGAATCATCATCTCTACTCTTAGTCCCCATATAAATACAGTTCAGTGTGGCTGGATCTCCAAATGCGTACATAGATGTGTGCACGCACATATTTATTTGCTGAATATTTTAAAGAAAGATCCTTAGATTGTCCATTAATATAGTGGACCTCTATTCTCATAGTTAAATACCGTTCCCTGAAAATAAGACCTAACCTGAAAATAAGCCCTAATCCGATTTTTCAGGATGCTTGTAATATAAGCCCTACCCCAAAAGTAAGCCCCAGTTAAGTAAAACCCACCCTCCACCATTGTGTAGCAACCAGAAGATGACATGACTGTATTGGAATAAATGTAGATTGTTGAACATGAAAAAAATAAAACATCCCCTGAAAGTAATCCCTAATGTGTTTTTGAGCAAAAATTAATGTAAGACCCTGTCTTATTTTCGGGAAAACATGGTAGTTTTGCAAAAAATCTGTGATATAACCTATGGACTGACTGGGTTGAATCAATGGCTCTGAAAAGGTGGTGTTTGAATAGACAGTGTGTATTGTGCTATGGCACCACACATGCATGGAATCCAGTATGGGGAATATTCTCAATTTTCATTTAATAGCAAAAGTACAGAAGTGGTAAATCAAATAATGTTTTACATTGTCAGGAATCTCATGGATAAGATGTAATGAGGCTTACTTCCATATAAACATATAGGATTGTCACTAGACTCTGTAAAGTTTTTCCTCTTTGCGACAAAATTTGCAAGTTGGGTCTAATTTTCACTGTTTATTTTCATTAGAAATATGAAAGCCAACTAGAAATCAATGGCAAGACTTAAATTTTAAATATATGGTGCTACATCTGAGGATGTTAACGTAAGATACGTACATAAACAGTCGGGTCCAAGCTACTTGAAAGACCTCATCTCCTTTTATGAGCATGCCTGGCTTTTAAAATCATCAAAGGAAAGCCTTTCCTTTGGCATCCCCACCTTACAGGTGTAAGAACACGAAAGAGAGCTTTTTCTGTTGCTGGTTGTGGGATTTCCTCGGGAGGTCCAGCTGGCCCCTCTGATTGCAGTCTTTCCACAAGCAGGCAACATCTTTCTCTTCAGGAAGGCTTTCTCTTTGTAACTGGCTGCCTAGGAGGGGGTGGTGAAAATGAGGCTAATATAGTTTTAAAAAATTTAAATATTTTTAGATTTAACATTGTAAGCCACTTTGGGTCCTTTTGAAAGAAAAAGGTCAGATATATTTTTAATAAATAATAAAGTGAAATATGGTAGTACAGTGGTGCCCCACTTGGCGACGACCCCGTTAGATGACAAAATTGCTTTACGATGAGTTTTTTGCGATCACTATTGCGACCGCAAAACGATGGTTCCTATGGTTTTTTTCCCTTAACGTCGATTAGGTGCCTGCTTCGTGAACTGTTTGTTCGCAATACGATTTTTCCGGCTCCGCAAAATGGCTTCCCTTCGTAAAATGGCTTCCTTCCCTTCACAAAAATGGCTGCTTTCTGAACCCTGTTTCAGAAGACAGCGATTTTAAGCAGCTGATCGACGGTTCTCTATGGGTGATCTTCCCCATTGGAACGCATTAACCGGTTTTCAATGCATTCCTATGGGGTTTTTTGCTTGACGACGATTTTGCTTAACAGCGATTTTCCTGGAACAGATTATCGTCATCAAGCGGGGCACCACTGTATCTTGTTTGTCCAGTTGTTCTGTAGCTTCCGTTGTAGTTGTTTAATTCCTCCTCTCCCTATGCTAAAGGTATTTTTATGAGTCAGCCATCTTCTTGTTTAAATGGTAAAATCTTTTTCTTCTTTCTGTAGTTTCTCTTTCACCGTCCATTACGGCTCCTCAACCTGCTGATTCTCATCGAAGGAAGTGTGGTTTGCTATCAGCTCTACTCACTCCTTCGCTCGGAGAAATGGAACCACACCCTCTCCATGGCCCTAATACTCTTCTGCAATTACTATGTCTTATTTAAACTCCTGCGGGACCGAATAGTATTGGGCAGAGCATATTCGTATCCTCTCAACAGTTATGGGTTAAAAGCCCATTAATCAATCACTTGAGGAAGGGAAGGATATTTTCATACAGTTCTATTTTTTTCCTTGCAACTGTTTATAAATATTTAAAAAAATATTTTATATTTTGTATACTACTGGGGTTTTTTTGTGTGTGGGTTAGGGAAGGGCCCAGTGACAATTAAATGTCACTTTATAAACAAGGTGTTATTTTATATAAAGAAATCATTGTGTATATACTGTATATCAATATATACCTATGTGAAGCAAGAGAGTTGTATGTGTGGTCACTCCATCTGCTCCGAATTAACCAGTTCGGCATCCCTGGCAAGTTCTAGCTCTTTGTACAGAGAACCATTTTCTATGCTAAGGTGCCTTCACATAAGACCATACCTCAAAGGGAGACAATGAAATGTATTCAAATGCATGCTGCAGCTGTGGCCTGGAAAAGAGCAAAGGGGACATGCCGTGAACTGACTGGCCAGATGGGGGAAGAGAAGGGCAGACATTAAGAGCCTGGAAACAGCTCATTAAATACTAAACTAATTATTTTGGAGACTAGTTGGAGAAAAGCCTCCAACAAAATATATCTCATGAGGATTACATCTTTTTTAAAAGTAACAATAGTGTGTGTGTGGGGGGGGTTGTCATTGACAATTATATTTTGATACGCTGTCTTCAGGGAGCACTCCCCCTCTCAAAAGGCACCTGTTGCTCCCGCTGAAGACTACTTTTGGCCCTGTGTATGTATTTGGATTATATCACCCAGAAGCCATGGCAGTCAAGAGTCCGTGGTATTTTTCAGGGCTTCTGAACGTCGTAGCTTAAAACGGGATCCCCCAGTGGTGGGGACTGTTGCTCTATAGAGAGTCCATAACTATTTGACCATTTCTGATGACATTTTCTTAGCAAACCACTAAAAACGTTTCTGACTAAAACTATAGCCATAGTGAGAGCTGTCAACTCCATTCCCATTTCCCACGCAGACAGCGAGGTCTCTGGCTCACAGGGACCAGTTTATATTGCACTTTCCCACAACTAAAAAAACAAAACAAAAAACACAAAAAAAACTGGCTTCTCTCTCCCACAGGAGTGGCTTGAACACTGTTATCAAGAACCAGCAGCCTCTAGACTTCTCTGGAATGATTCACATTCTGTTTCCATAAATCTCTCTATAAACATTTCCAAAGAGGGAGCTTTTTGGTTAGCCTTGCTGTAGCTATATTAACCTTTGGTACTTTAAATACTAGCAAGCTTATTATATTGCAAATTTGGTTTTCTTTACTTGATGTAATGAAGTGGGTTCTAGTTATGTGTCTTTTTGATGGTTCTTTTCTTGGAAGTTCTTTTTCTTTTATGCTTTTAAATCATGTTTTAATTTGTTTTTATTTCTCTGCTTATCATAGAATGCTTATGTGCATTTTGCTCCAGATAACTTCAGTAGAGGCTGCTCGTTTTCCTCACAATAACATTTTTCAAAAATTATCCAAGAAGAGACTAAAGCCAGTCTGTGTGTGTTTTTGTTTGAATTAGTGGGGCTGTCCTGTCAACTTGGTGGTGGGTGCAACAGGAAATGGTCACTATGACCTGAAGAGGAAGAGACCAGGGAAAAGAAGAGGTTCTAAACAAGATTGCACTTTCAGTCAAAACCTCTGAGTGTCATCCTAAGAAATTGAAAGTGGTGTACAAAATGAGCACCCTTATATAGAGCTAGTGTTGGTGGTATGGTGCATGGGTGTCACTTTCCCTAAAGGTAATGAAATGAGATCCCATGTTTAAGAATAAACATATTTTTCAGGCATGTTGTATTCCATCATCTCCAGCTAACAACTGCAGTATGTGATTTGTGGCCCAGCTAAAAAAAAAGTTCAAGGTAAGCGATATTTTATAGCAACAAGCTTAACGTCTTAGAAGGATCCAGTAACAAATGTGCTAAAAGTCAACCTTATAAATCCCATGGTGGGGTTCTCAGAATGAATTATTTAATTAGCACACTGATAATACTCATTTTGCAAATGTTTTCCATTTTCAGTTTTAGACAGTGATAACACTGGATTAATTTTCTGAACTTCCTAAAATTTTACACTAAAAATTAATTTTTAAACCTACTGTTTCAAGCTCCACCATGCCCTTGTTCTTTCCACTAGCCATTGCAGCCCAAAAGACTGCTCTGTATTTTAGTAGGGGAAAAAGGGAATGAGTGGTTTCTAAAAGAACATGGCAGTAAAACATTGGATACATTAGAATGTTAGTCACTGATATTCCATTATGGTAGCACAGATGGTGTGCACAAGCTTCCAGTTATAACTCTTAAAATAGCAATTTTCCTTAAATGTTATGTGAACTGTTTTGGAAACATGACAGTGTGTAGTTATTTCAGGGATTGGTGATAGTTAAGAGATGGGGGTATTCGTATACAAATATGCCCCCCCCCAGGTGCAGATAATGAGGGTCCGATTCCCTGGGACCAGACCATTCACTCACAATTCAGCCGCTGTGGCAAACTCCACACGCCATTCCTATCACTCCAGAGTTCACGATCGGTGAGCCACTCTGCAACCTTGCAGAGAGGCTCGTCATCCCGCCTTTTGCCAGGAGTGGCTAATCCATCACGAGCTCTGGAGTGATAGGAACAGCGCACAGAGCATGCGGCAGCAACAGAATTATGAGTGGATGGTCTGACCGCAGGGGGGCCGGACCCTCATTATCTGCACCTGTGGGGGGATAGTCGTATACAAATACTCCCATCTCTAATGATAGTGTGCTGTGAACTGCAGTGTACAAATGCAATTCCCTGTAAGATGCAGGGGATTTTTAAAGGGCCCCAATGGCAAGGCAACAGCTTCGGCTCTCAACTGAAAGGACTTAACAGATAATCACCTCCCTCTCCACATGTGAATGAATGGCAGCCGTACATGAAAAACAAGAGTACAGTGACACTCAAGAAGAGGATGGGGATTAAGCTTAGTTCTACCCAATTCTCCCAGGGCCAGGCTGTATTCTTTTTATATTGTCCCACAGAGCAAGATAGGCAGGGGAAAAGAACATTATTGGCAGTGGTCTCGTTCTTTAGAGCAGCTATTCTCAATCTTTACTTGGCCACGACCATAAACACAAATCTGAAATACAGGTTTCTGAATTAAGATTGTATAAATTGCATATAATGGTGTGTGAAGAACTGCTTCCACTCTGTAGCCCCCTTCAAATGTGTATGGGGGCATATGACCCCCTCCCATTGAGAATGACTGTTTTAGGGATAGCCTATAAATCACAAAATGCTGGATTATATTTGTTATATGTGCTTGAGTGCAGCAGAATGGTAAATAACTAAAATGTAGTTCACTTCCCAAACATGCCAAAGTAAAAATACAAAATATACTGTAATCAAATAAAATGCTTAAGATAGCAACCTAACAAAGAACTGATTCTGCAAAGAGATTCTGTCTTGAAAAACATATTAGAGCTGAGTATCTTCCTGTTTCAGCCTTAAGGCAGGCTGTTTTCCCCATTTCATCTCTCCAGTGGTTTCTGTTAAGTGTACCTAAATTGCCTTTTCAATACATCTTAGGATACAAACCCGTGACACTCCATTCTGTAACCTAAGTGAGAACTTAACCCAAAAATAAACTGTGTTGAGTTCCAAGGGCCTGAAAACAGACATTTCTGTAGCCATATGTAGATGTGTTTATTGAGCTCCTGGCTACATCCATTAGGCTTGGAAGGCTGCATCTTCAACTGGCCTCAGCCCCCCTATAGTATATCTCCCTTCTGAGTAATACACTTCTGACAGCAAACAGAAGGGAACTCAAATTTCTGTGGGGAAAACAGGAGCTGATTGAATGCTGCTACAATACCCACAACACTTTGTGCATTATTCTTTTGATTTATGCTGAACCAAGCAATTTAGATTAATATGTAAATAGGGGAAGATGTGTTAATTCAAACTGTAAGAACTATTTGTTTTCAGGTTTGACTGAAGCTAGAATTTTGGAGCTGGCCCTATTATCCAATGATGTCATAATAAATGACAGGCTTTACTGTTGTGTCACGAAATTTCTCCAAGTGAAGTCCAATACGGAACAACAAAGCTTCATCCCACCATTTTGCCATAATCTGTAAGGAAAAAAAAGAAGTACAAGATAATGAGAGAAGGAATATTTGGTGAAACAGACAGAGGATATGGACAGTCACTGCTGTTCTGGCTAAACCAACCACCAGAAAGGACACTCAAGTTAAAGGAAAAGGGAATATTGGAGAAATAGGCAACTGTGGAATCAAGTCTACCTGCAGTCATTCAGGAAAAAAAAATTGGCTGAAAGTTCTGTAGGGGTTTGCATAACAGGACTATTTTTGAAACCGGCCCTTTTCCTAGACATTGTGAAAGCCACATGAACTATAATGGCCAAAATTCTGTACAGTGGTTCCCAACTTCGGATCTCCAGATAGTTTTGGACTTAAAACTTTCAGAAGCCTTCATCACTAACTGGACTCAACAGGATTTCTGGGAGTTGTAGTCCAAGAATATCTGGGTACCCAAGGCTGGTAACCACTGTTGTACTATAAATTACTCCCATGTAAGATTAATGATGTCACCAAAAGAGGGAGATTGTCAACAATTAGAATCTTCAGTTTCAGGGCTTGCATTACTTGCCTACAAACTCATTGTGCCTGAGTTGGGTGAGCCAGTAGCAGTGTTCAATTTCCTAGAATTAGATTGCAGGCAAGCACCCAAATCTCCCTGCAAGTCACACTGCCCTTACATAGACATAATTTTGGACAATATGTAAATTCTCTGCAGAATATGGGCATTTTCCCACTTTCCTCCTATTAAAATCTATACGCTTTCAAGGATAGCCTTCCTAATACAATACATTGGAAAGCCTTTCACATTAACTGCAGCAAATATGACTCAATATTACTTTCCATGAGGTACCCTAGTATCAGCAAAATCATTGTGCTCAGTACAATATAAAAATACCCAGTAAAGAAATGCAAGAGTTATGGACTTGTAAGGACCAGTGCCATTCCTTGTGTTAGTGACATCGATATTTGGTATTTGGCTTACTAATTTATACCCACTTCCATCTTTGAACTGCAGCCAACATCCTTGACAAGGATGGGGGAAGATGTCTGCACAAAGCTCTTCCAGCAAAATAAAATATAATCACAAAGAAAAAGCTACCTCCTGGAGTGCCACATGTGGTTACTGGCCAATAAAATGGACATACCTTTCCTATATCGTACAAATGCAGGAGCAGGTGATAACTTTATTAGATCACGTTAAAAATGAAGTAAACAACAAACAGCTGGCTTTTGATTATCATTCAGCTTCCTCAGGTTCTGCACCAAGTTCTTTGGGCAGTTCAGAAAATAATATATTTATTAGAGTCCCAAAGTTTCATGGCTGTTGTTGGCCCAGGGTAACTTCTTGAGATTGATACAGATGCAGTCTGCAGAAGGCTTGTGGGAGGATTGTTGTATTGTTTTGGATACCACATTGCCCTTTTCTGATTTTTCCCCATATTAGCCATGACATCTGAGACATGCAAATGAACATAGGGAGGATTCCTGATTTGTTGTACGAATTCATCCGAAAAGGAACAGAGTCTACTTTTGTTTGTTTAGCAAGGAACGTCCTCACAACATAGGATAGACCAATGAGGAAAGAACACGTGGCCACATGAGCAAAAGAGAAAGTAATATTTACCTGAAGGCTGATGGGGAGCCTTGAGGCAGTGTATCCAACTGGTACGACCAGTGATGGAATACCTGTCAAGTTGGCCAGCTGCATATATCTACGAGGATCAAAGAAGCAGGAAGATGAGTTACTGGTGTTGCTAACTGCTAGGGAGAGTTCCTGAAGAAACATGGCTTCTCGCTGCAGACTGTGAGGCTGGATCACTTTCCTTTAGGTGACACACCCATTTTTACTTGATCATTCCAGAAAGTGACCTGGCAAGGCACCAAGGACTCTTATGCAGCCAACCATTGCCAACACAACTAGGCCAAATTAAAATCAGTCACAATTTCCACACATCAGACAGTCACAGGCAAATTTTAGTAAGCTCAGCTCTGGCAAGTGAATTCTACCCTAGAGACTCATCTGCATTCTCTCTTTCTCACAGCTGTCACTTTGAAAGATACACATCTCGTTGTTACCTCATAGTCCTGAGAGTTGTAGGAACATCACTACAACCAGTCCGGAGATCAGAGCTCTGGATTCTTGGGGCACAACATGCAGTACCTTGCACACACAAAAAACAGTAATTTTAAAAATACTGTACTGATCTTTTTTCTTGAGTTTGTCTTGATTCTTACCTCTCGCAAAATACAGAACTTTATAGTAAATTAGAAAAGCTTGGAAAATGGTTTCTAAATAAGAACAATTAACTGTTTCCCACAGAACATAGTTTTAGCTGAGCTGGCTCAAAACCAAAAAAGAATTCAGAGTTCAAAAGAAAACAAGAAATAGAAGGTTTTATGAGCTAAATTTCAGAGAATCCTTGTCAACTAATTATTGAGAAGCAGTCCATAAGGAAATCACTCTTCGGGCAAGTACACTTGTTAGATCTACATTATGCATAAACCTTACTACAAAAGATGAGCCTTCATCTTATAAAGTACTGCATACCTAACTTCAAAGTTGCTATCTGGCTCAAAGAGGGTTGTCAATGTAGAACTTCCCATTGGAACAGTATATGTTCTAGGAATCAAGCTCTAGGTAAACTTCCTCTTCTAACTCTGGATATGTGTGTTTACCTTATTTTTCTTTCTATAAGACGCCCCTATGTATAAGATCCCACACACACTTTTCTAACCCCAAATTAAGAAAACTTTGAGTATTCAACCTCTAGGCTCAGAACGCTCTGACATTAGGAGTCACTGTTGCATCTGAGCACTGCCTACAGGCTCCACCTCCAATGAGGTATGTTCCAATTGGTTTGTACAGCATCAGCTGACGTCAGTTACATAAGGTTCATGATTGGAGGAAGCTAAGTCTCCTGACTGTAGGAAGCTAAGCCTCATGATTGGAGGCAGCCTGTTTGCAGAGGCAAGGTATATGCCGTTTTGTTTTCTCCTCAGTTTACTTTCATGCATAAGACGACCCTCAATTTTTAGTTTAAAGATTTTAGGAAAAAGTATCATCTTGTACACAGAAAAACACGGTATATTATTCATATGCTGCCTTTCCCCCCACATATAGGAGACTCAAGGCATCTCACACCAATTAAAATTATACAATTACAGTTTTTTAAAATACCATAAAAACTATGAAAAACACTTGTCAGTATTAAAACCAAAATGAAAAGAATTTTTAAAACATTTTAAACTCTCTAAGTTTAATAAACATCGCATTCCTGAGTCCCCCGCATATTGCTTAAAAGCCTGCCCGGAAAGGAAGGTCTTTGCCTTCCTTTTCAGGCAGGGGAGGGAGGGGGCCAGGACAGCACAGTAACCACTGAGAAGGCTCTTTTGTCCTCGCCAAACAAGCTTCAGAAGCTGGAAAAAACCAAGAGAAGGGACTCCCCAGAAGACCTTAAAAGCCGAGAAGGCTCTTTTGAGGTTATACAACCATTCAAATAACCTGGACCCAAGCTGTATAGAACTTTATAGATAATAACCAGCACTCTGAATTGGGCCCAGAAAGAGAGTGCTAGCCAGTGCAGCTGTTGGTATAAGGGAATTACAGTAGCACCTATGTTTATGAAATTAATGCATTCTACGGGACGTTACGTAAAGCGAAAAATTCGCAAACCGAAACATGGATTGCCATAGGAATGGGGGCAGTGCTATAAACCTCCAGGCACAATGTGTCCTGGGGAAACTGTCTTCGTACTCCGAAAAAAACAACAGCAGGTAAACTGAGACATTATTTTCTACGGATTTCCGTTCGTAAACCAAAAATTACGTTAATCAAGGCATTCATAAACTGAGGTACTACTGTATATGTTTGCTGTATACCACACCATTCAGCAACCGGGCTGCAGCATTTTAAACCAACTTAAGTTTCTGAACACTCTTCAAAGGCAACTCCATGTACACCGTGTTGCGGTAATCTACACAGGATGTACTAACGCATGTGCAACCATGGCTAGTTCTGACATCTCAAGTAACCGGCACAGCTGGGGCACCAACATTTAGGATACACAACCTCTGCTCTGGCATCACCACAGCCTGAGAGCTGAGCAAGTTAATAAAACCTCACTTTTGCATAACAATATATATTTTATTATAAAGACAATTGTATGTACCTTCACAAAAGGACTATTCAAGTTCTTTTTAAAACTGCAGTTAAGTTATAATATATTATTTTGAACAGACAAACAAGGATAAATTAAAGTTGACATTTGGGAATATTAAGGAATATTTTATGTTCCCAGTCCTGCAAATAATCCGAAGGAAGCGGGCCAACTAATATATTTATTTCAGAAAGGAATTAGACATGTGCTACATTTCATCCACCTATCGTATGGAGACATGCTGACACTTCTTCCAGTGCCTTCTCCACACAAAAGTAGGGTCTTTCCTCTTTGTGAAGCAAAGCTCAAACACAACGCTCAAGAGATGAAGACTAATTTACCTCAAAAGTGGCCAAATGTGAATTCAAACTATTTGGCTAGGCACGTTATCAAGGAATAGGGTGTTGGAGCCAGAATATATGCCGCTAAATATATCTCTAAGCAACAGACCAACAGAATCCCACAAAGTATCACAAATGTTGTTACAATTCCATTAAGGTTTGATACCTGGAGTAATGAGACAATTCACCTTCGCAAAAGCCTCCCGCAGAAAGGCCATGGTGCGGCTCCGTTGCCGATTGGCCTGCAATGAGAAGAGAAGGATCAGCCTGTAAACAAGGGTGGTATGCTAACACTAGAGAAGAGGAATCCGATGGAAATTTGTTTAGCTGAAGGGATGCAGCTTAACATAGCCAAACATAAATAACTATATCTCCACCCACTCAGAAGAGGACAAAATCTAAAAAAATAAGGATTGCTATGATATTTGTGGGGGAAAAGAGGACATGTCTGTGAATTACCAGGAAAGCTTAATGGAAACAAGTTAGGAAACTGTAAATGCAGGTTAGGTACTGTTTGGATGCCGTCTCAATTCTAGTATTGACAGATTTAAAATAAGTTTTTGAAATTGATTTCAGAAAGCTATAAACACGGGCCAATAGTCCAAAAATGACACTGGGGTGACTACATGGGTATTCGTCCCACTGTTTGGTCTGCTCTGGAAACAGGCTGGTTTGCTTCTTTGGCCAGTGGTCAGATGAAGAAATTGCCAAAATTGAACTAGCCCACCCCCAGAACATTCCTACTGTTTTTTAGGTGTGGGCAGGATCACTCCATTTTTGTTTGATTCAAGCATGTGTGGTCTCTGGCATCAAACCAACGTGATTGCCCCCCTCTCCCTTTAAAAGGAAAGATGTTTCCCTTTAAATAAAAATGATTTCTCAAGACTGTTAATTAGCTGTCTGTCTCTTCAGAAAACTTATTTAATCATCTCAAGAAATTGGAAGCTTTCCCTTTAAACCATCCTTGCCACTCACCTTTAGAGGAGAAGGGAGAATTTCTACATTTCTTTTTGATGGTTGCTAACTGATACAACATATCAGCGATTTTTTCAAAGTGTTGCAGATACATTACAATACTTAACAAGAAATGCAAAACTTCCTCTCTCTCCCCCTGCCTGAATGGAAGCTTTACATTTCTCAAGATTAACTGGTTTCTCCAAAGGGATGGCCAGTCAGCCTCTTAATGATCTTGAAAAATCTCTCTCTCTAAAGTGAAACAATATTTCCTTTAAAAAGGAAAATCTTGACTATGCTTAACAGGGTTGTTTGAGGTACAATGTGGTTTTGACCTGAAACCATCCCATCCTTGCATATAGCACCACACACTTCTATACAACTTTTAGCAATTCTATTTAGCCCACTCCAATGGAGCAAGTTAGGGTAGGAGGTTACTCGGCTTGCATCTTTGCATCAGAAGGAGTAGATAAAGAAGGCCCTCCACAGGTTTCCTGGACTGTCATTTACTTGCTCTGACTTAGCCTGACCTTTCTTCTCCTAGACTAATATTCTTAGTGTTCCTGATGTAAGTTATTTCCTTCTCACGTTTCCTTCTCGGTCCTCTTTGAGAGAGACAGGAAAGACATCTTGCCTGTGTTCCAAAGAAATGCAGGGGAAGTCCTGTCTCCCTGCAAATCCACTGTAGTTAACTAGAACTAGAATTTCTCTTGTCTTTCCTATTTCAATGTACTTCTCTAATAAAACACCAGCTTTCTTATTGTCCTAGGCTAATTAGTGTGAATCCGGTTTGTTTCCATAAGTGCAAGTGTGCTCTCCTCACCATTCTGATTTTCAGGGGCTGAACCACTAGCTGACTTAGCTACAGCTTGGTGCCACTTGCTCTGCTAAAGGTTATCGAAAGGAGGAAGCTCAGAGAATCGCCCTCCTTGATTAACTGTCAGCTTTTTAAAAAAAACTACATCTGAACTGGGAAAGCTAATTAAATTATAGGTTTTTGATACAAGCCAAAGTTATAACTCATAGATTGATTCCAGCCTGTTTCAAAAAAAAATACCATTTCAATTAATCAGCTTCTCCTTTTCAGACACAAAGAGAAATGTTTGTTGTTTTATACAAAAACCACCCTGATGTTTAAACTTCTTCCTGATAGCCACACTAGAGGGGGAAGAACAAACCAATTTGAGGTTTACTTTTACAGCTCAATCAGACCAATGAAAGGTTCAGTCTATATAAAACTTGCATTTTGAAACTGACTGTAAATCTGGACATTACATAGTCCTTTAATAAAGCAGAAAAAGGAAAGAGCAATGTTGAAGCACTGGAAAAACTGAAAGCCTTAAGCCTGTGTGAGGTTCCCCCACACACACTAGTAAAAAGTAAAGGAAAAGGTAAAGGTTCCCCTTGACAATATTTTGTCCAGTCATGTTCGACTCTAGGGGTGGTGCTCATCCCCGTTTCCAAGCCGTAGAGCCAGCGTTTTGTCCGAAGACAATCTTCCATGGTCACATGACCAGTGCGACTTAGACACGGAATGCTGTTTCCTTCCCACCGAGGTGGTCCCTATTGATCTACTCGCATTTGCATTCTTTCGAACTGCTAGGTTGACGGGAGCTGGGACAAGCGACGGGAGCTCACTCCATCGCGTGGATTCGATCTTACGACTGCTTGGTCTTCTGACCCTGCAGCACAGGCTTCTGCGGTTTAGCCCGCAGCGCCACCACGTCCCCCCCACTAGAGAAGTCTATTAATCATAGGGGAAAATGATGCCAAAGTCTTCTAATGAAAAGTAGATATGCCTGAAAATCGTTCCCTTAATTTAATTTAAACTGGCATTCTATGAAACTGTTTGGAGGTAACAGCAAGTCAGCAGCATTCCGGAGTCTTTTCTCATTCTTTGGTTAAGAGCGAGGAAACCCTTCTAAACCCAAGGCCAAGTTTAATTTCCAATAAGTTCTCAGGAGACTTCATTCCAGTTGTGAGCAGGCCCAAAGGCAAAGGATGAACAAATGTGAGCATATTTTAACTTAAAGCTCTCAAAGAGCATATACAAACTGGGAAAACATTAAGTCATGGGGAATTGGGTATGCCCATCTGAGGATCCCAGTAGGGCTTAGATTCAGCCACATGTTCTGAGATTCTCCATCCCTTATCTCAGTGGTCCCCAACCTTGGGCCTACACATGTTCTTGGACTTCAACTCCCAGAAATCCTTGCCAGCAGAGGTGGTGACGAAGGCTTCTGGGAGTTGTAGTCCAAGAACATCTGGAGGCCCAAGGTTGCGGACCACTGCCTTATCTAATCATTTCCTATAAGAGGTTCAAGTACTGAATCTCTTTCACATGACTTGTAAGGAATTTACTGATCCACAGTACTTTTTACCCCAGGTATCATTGACTCTGCTTTTCACCTTAATATAATCCAGGGATGTGAACTGAGTAGCAATTGCAAGATTCAAACGAGTCTCCAAATTCTGAAAAACAAAGATACTTGGATAAAGTCCAGTTATGGAATCAAAAGCTAAACAGAACCAATGTCAAGATGACCATCTAGAAAATATCCTAAAGCTGTAGAAAATAACAGTATACTATAAAAATAATTAAATTACTAGCAAATAGCCAGATATGTGATCAGAATTTTGCAGTGTACAGATTTTTTTAAAAAAAGACATTAATAATTACAATACATATTTAGAAAAAAAAATCTGTTGCATTTGCACCATGAGTCACAAAACAAGCATAGCAGATGAATAAAGATGCAATCTGTATGAGATGTTTGCAGGATAAAGATATTTGCCAGCTTCTCATTTGACCCAAACCTAGGATCAAAGTAGCCATTATAGAGAGCCAGTCACTAAAGAAAGTATTCTTTAAGTGCTGAAAAAATCTGATTGTCACAGGATAAGAATTTGCAAATATAACTTGCTTTGTTTTGTGACTGGTCATATAGTAGTAAATGCAGGAAAGTATGTTTGATCAATGATCAAGGTTTGCTGGAATTGTATCTTTGGAATACTAACAGGATTTCAGCTTCTAATGAAGGGTTGTCTGCAAACATAGTTTAACCCTTGAAAATAGTGGTTTAAACACAGAAGAGCTAACCAAAATCTGCACTTCAAACTGTGAAAATGATTTCTTATCTCACATGTCTTAAAGAACGATGCAGAGTTCTAACTGATGCCAAGTGAGGTGGCTCATAATTTATCTATTCAGCCCAATCCACCATTTACCATTTGTCCAAAGTGATTGTTGAAGTCTGGCTGTAGGAAATCTCTCATCTCACTAAGGATGCAGATGACGTGAGCCACCCGTATCTCCTCAATCTCTGGCAGGGACACATCAACCACAGAGGCACCAAGGCGCTCTAGGAATTCCACCGCTGAACATTCAGTGGCAATAGACAGGAGACAAAAAGCAAGAAAGAGATGGCACAGTCCAAACAGTCTTCTGTATTATTTCAGCCAAGGAATTCATCTGCTACAATTCTAGGGTGAAGTCATGGAAGCCTGTTTTGGAAAAGTATTTGCCCAATTGAGCATCCAGTTAAATAATCATTATGATCATGTAAAAACATTCCACAGGTTAACTACAGGAGCCTCTGTTCATCATCTTCACCAGTTCACTAAGGCTTGCCCAGATAATTCTGGGAATCAAATCCTAGCAAAACGAAAATGAAAGAAACTCATGATCTGACTTTCTACATATTTCAACATAGAATTTTGTATATTAACATACAGTGAAGATTTTATTGGAACAGGAAGATTAAATTTGACCTACAAAGAACAAGGTGCATATATGGCATAGTCCAGTGGTCCCCAACCTTTTCCCAACTGCGGACTGGTTGGGGGTGTGTGGCACACTCGTGGGGGGTGGAGCGCGCTAGCACACATGCACATGGTGGCAGTTGTGGGGGCGCTCGTGCGCATGCAAACTGCGCTCACAGGAAGCGGAGGACTTGTGTGCGCAGGCTCGCGGCAACGCTTGCGGGGGGCCACTTGCGTGCAGCGTGCTCGCAGGGGCCGAGCGCACTTGCAGGGAGCACAGGCTGGTGCTCCACGCGGCCTGGTCCTGCCTAGGCTGCGGACCAGGGGTTGGTGAACCCTGGTATAGTCCATTGATTTGGGGTAATGACGAAGAATCAGAAACTCTCCAGTGCGGGTCTTGCCCTTGAATTAAAACCTGTTTTGCAGAGCTGAGCCATATGTTGTAACAAAAATGGTAATGAGGGATCAATGGCATTGTAAGGAGACATTTAAATCCTCTCCAGCAATACTTGCTTGATCAAAACTGCCCCTCCCCCGCACCATGGGTATCTCTTTTTCTCTGCAAGAGAAACTGATATGGAAAGGATTGATTCTGATCTGGCTGTGATTGGCCCACGCTTCCTCTTATTCAAAGTTTGCAGCAGCTGCATCTTACTTCCTGTGTTGTTGTTTTTAAGAGTCAAGGAGACCCGGTCACAGATAAAACTGCTCTGATCCTAACTAAGTGGCCTTGAGTGCAGTCTTCTCCCTGCCGCCACTCAACCACCCATCTGCAGTACGGACATGTTCCTTACACTGGGACTTCAAAATATGTCAAATACTTGGAATGTTCAAAAGCTGAACATGAAGTATTTCTATATGAAGAGTAGGGCAGTTAGTGCAATTCCACTATCGTTACAAGTGCTTAGCACTAGGCCAATCGGCATAGCATTTGTCCACAAGACTGGTTCTCCCAAAACCCTTTTCCTCTTCCAATCAACAAGTCCATGAAGCTACTTGGGAGACTCTCAGAAAAGCTTAATTTTCAGCCCCAATCAACAAGTCCATGAAGCTACTTGGAGACTCTCAGAAAAGCTTAATTTTCAGCCCATGGTGACCATTCTATGGCAGCAAGGTGGATGACTCAGCAGGCCAGATTCCTGCAGTATTCAACAACAACCAAAGATCTTTCACTGTACCTTTTTGGCAGACAGCTAGAATTTCATCATCACAAGCCTAGCAAAGAAGCAAAACAAAAATGGGAGTTATCTCCCAGTGCTCACCTGTCCAGAACCACCATAAGGTATTTTCTTCCCCACTCCCTCTGTGGCACCAATAGAGTCATGATTCTGTTTGTCTTCTTTGTTGGGACAGCAGGACTGCATACCCAACACAAGCACAATGCAACAGATCTGACAGCGCAACAGAAATTGGGGCGGGGGTGGTGGTGGTCACAACAAAAGGTACCTTAAAGAAAGTCCAGTCAATTCCCAACTTCAAGCCCTTCAGATCAGGGCTGAGGACTTCAGAGAGGGATGGCTTAGGCTGGCATAATCCTGTAGTAAAAGAAGAAGAATAGGGAACAAGCACTGACTTTCCCACAATAACAGGTAATAAGACATGTTATTCAGAGTTGCAACTAAACGAGCAATTGAGACTCACCGTAGGGATACAAGGGATCTGGTCCAGCCAGAACAATATATGCAACAGCTGCGTCTGCCACTGAAGCACAGAGCGGGCCTGGCCAAGAAGCAAAAGAGAAAACAAACTCATTATGGCATGTGTAGTAAGTAGCCCCAAGGCCCTGTATCTGCAACAGTTTCGGCTTTTGTGTTTAGCAAGGCAATTTTCTTGCCTCCTTGACTTCAGACATTAAGCAGAATGAAACCGGAATGCTGAGGAGGCCAAATGGGCTCTGCCATGTCAAACATTATGTTCTGGAAGGGGTAAATTCCTTTTATGGATCTCATGCAAAAAGCACATCTTGGACATTTAATAAAATGAGCACAGCAACAAAGGTTTTACCCTACACTTCTCTTCCTTCTTACCGAGGCTTACAGTAGAATATGAAAGAGGAAGACAGCCAGATGCACTGATACGTCCAAAGGTACCTTTAGAGAAGACAAAACAGGTTGATTAACAACATAAAACAGAGCAATGTGGTCCCAGGCCATCCCAGAGCCTCTCATAAAACAGCTTCCCCCAAATCTTGTTTTATTTTATTTTGGCAAGAACAGCTATGGACCCAAAAGGAATCTCTCATGCTACTCCTTCCCCCCCAACCCCCCCCCACAAAAATAGAAATTAGACATGTCCACTCACACACTCCCTCTTTTTAAAAGAATGACTATTTTTTGAGGCCCATCCACCATGCAGTGTGGTCTGGGGGAAAATATTTGGCCTCCAAGTCCACCAAGATGACCCATTCTTGACATAAAAGTTACTAATTGCCAAAATGAGAGTGCCAGAAGCATATTCAGGATTTCCCCCACACCCCAACACACCAATCAGACCAAGGATACTGTCTCATATCCTGGACTGCTTCCTGGGTTTGAGCTGCTTCAGTGGGCCTGCTGAACCACAGGACTCTATAAATGTCTTGAATTGCTCTCATGATGATGCAATCAAGGGAAGGAGAGAATCTTCATCTCATTAATTAAGTCAATAGTAAGATGGTGCTACTTTGGTTATTTCCTAGAAAATGATTCCTGATGCAAGTCACAGCTGGTATTTCCCTGATACCTCCCCCCCCCGTCTGCCCCAACACAACTGAAGAACAGTCAGCATCTATAGTAAAGTAAATGAGTTTTACCTTTCAGTCCAACAACACCACAGAAAGAAGCAGGGATCCTTACAGAACCACCCCCATCTGTGCCAACAGCCAGTGGGCAAAGGCCTGGAGAGAAGGGGCGTCATTAGAAGCTTGAAGGAAACTGTCTCCTGCATTCCCTCCCCACCTTTGCAAAGGATGGTCTACTAAGAGAAGTGTGCCATTAATTCCTGTCACCCCCTAGAGGCTCAAGCTACTCCTAGCCAGCCAACATCTGCATGCCTCCTTACCAGTCTGCCATGTCCTACCATGTAACTACGGCTTAATAAGAGGATGGGGTGAAGAAAAAGCATAGTATAGGCCGCAACTCTCCCAAGATGAAATTCATGCACAATGGGCTTTATTTTACCTACATAAAAGGCTATTTTTCAATTCCCATAAATACTAAATATTCAGGGGTTGCAGTGCACTGTCACTACAAGGGACAAAGGATGGAACCAAACCGGGAATTGGGGGGGCATCCCTTTCCATTGGCCACCCCACCCTACCACTTCTGAGGGGCACCTGCTGCCCCACACCCATCCCACCTCTTGATCTAGCCACAAATGTTGGAAGCCCACTATCCTTCTTGACATTTCCACAACTCCTCTCTCCACATATAATATTCATCCACTCCCTTGCATCACATTACCTGAAGCTACCGCTGCAGCCGACCCACTAGAACTGCCGCCTGGGAAATGCTGGGGGTTGTAGGGGTTTCTAGCTGTACCATGATACCTGGAGGGACACAGAAAAATGTTTTCAAGGACGTTCTCAGCAAGGCTGATGGGGAAGGAAGAATCTCAGCATTCCAGCAAGACTGTTGCACAAGCAAATAGGTGACCCCCACCAACAGTAGCCAAACTAGATGTGATATTTTATCTCTGTGTTGAAACTGGTTCTCTCTTCCAGCTCATATTTTTGTAAGAGGTGGGGGAGACAGAAACCCCTGAAAGTGCAGAATGGGCAAGCAGCTGGGAGGAGCCTTAATCCTTCTCCAGACCTACCTATGCCACTTTCTCCCAAGCTCTGAAAACAGAAGTGATAGGGACATATGGTGTGTGTCTGTGTCATACTCCATGTAGCACCCACACTATGCTTTCAACTACCCTTATCTTTACTATATGTCTGCATTGTACCATTATATTTGTTCCACAGGACTCGCATTGGATCCAGATCCACTGCTATAAAATTTATCAAAACTCTGAGCCAAGAGACAAATCCTTCAGGCAGCTATAGCAACGGCTTCCCCTGTTTCATTAAGCCAACTGAGATCTAAGTGAACACAGAACATAATCTTTCTCCTCATTGCAGTGGGAAAAGAAGCTAATTAATCCACAGGGGCAGCCCATTGCTTACATTTTGCTGTAATAAACTACCAGTCACACTGATAACTTTATTTTAAAAGCTGTATTAGTTTGAGAGTAACATTCATTCATTTGTTGTCACTCTACTTTTAGATCAACCTGTTTTAGGTCAATTGATTAGTTTATCCAAAGAACACAAAAATATGGAAAATCTTACGCAGTCTCCATTTCATCAAGTGAAATATTCCAAAGGGAGTGGCAGTGAGGGAGGGAGGGAGGGAGGGAGGAAGGAAGGAGAGGGATGGTCCACGATGAAGCAATAGGTAGTGTGTGGCCCTA